CACAGACACACACACACACCACACACACACCACACACACCACACACACCACACACACACCACACACAATACTGACAACTCACAGTCACACACACACACACACACAGCACTAAACACACACACACACACAACCTGACACACAGAAACACAGACACACAACACACACACACACACAGACACACACACACGAACCACAACACACACACACAGACACACAGACACAATTCTAACACACAGACACACACTCAGACACACACACACACAGACACGACACACGAAACAGACACAGACACAGAACACAGACACAGGACACTCAAACACAGACACAGACCAACAGACACACACACAGACACACAGACACACACCACAACTCACACACATCAGACACATAGACAACAACAACACACAGACACAGACACTCACACACAACACAAATCAAACACACACAGACACACACACAGACACTCACCAGAAACACACACACACACAGACACACAGACACAGACACAGACACAGACACAGACACAGACACAGACACAGACACAGACACAGACAGAGACACAGACACACAGACACAGAGACACAGAGACACAGAGACACAGAGACACAGACACACAGACACACAGACACACAGACACAGACACAGACACAGAGACAGAGACAGAGACACAGACACAGACACAGACACAGACACAGCCACAGACACAGCCACAGACACAGCCGCAGACACAGCCGCAGACACAGCCGCAGACACAGCCACAGACACAGCCACAGACACAGCCACAGACACAGCCACAGAGAAAGGCCACAGACACAGCCACAGCCACAGACAAAGACACAGACAAAGACACAGCCACAGCCACAGCCACAGCCACAGCTACAGCCACAGGCACAGACACAGACACAGCCACAGACACCACAGACACACCACAGACACACCACAGACACACCACAGACACACCACAGACACAGCAGACACAGCAGACACAGCAGACACAGCAGACACCACAGACACCACAGACACCACAGACAACACACAGACACACAGACACACAGAGACACAGAGACACAGAGACACAGAGACACAGAGACACAGAGACACAGAGACACAGAGACACAGAGACACAGAGACACAGACACACACAAGAAGAACAGACCTTGCCCACCTTTTTCCTATAAAAAATCCCAGTCCCCTCCCCACACTTTTAGCAACATTTTGAAACAGCGCCTCAAACAGCACATTTTCAAAAATCAACATTCCAAATCACGAAATTTCCTAGTCAGTTTATCCAATATTTTATATTCAAATTTTTAAAAATATAAATGGCAAGTCAAAATTCATTCATTTTCAAAAAATATACATTTTCAAAAATAATTTTTCAAAAAAAAATCCAAAAAATAAATTTTACAAAAAATTAAAAAATAAATTTTCAAAAAAAATATATTGTTAAAAACAAATAAATTCATATATATATATATATATATATTTTAAAAAAATAAATTTTACAAAATTTTAAAAAATAAATTTAACAAAATAAAAAAATAAATTTACAAAAAAAATCAAAAAATACAAAATATTAAAAAATGATAAATTTTCAAAAAATATAAATTTTCAAAAATATAATTTTACAAAATATAATTTTACAAAATTTTCACAAATATTATTCAAAAAAATATGATAAGTTATTTTACAATAAATTTTATCACAAATTTTGTAGAAATATTATGGGCAAGGTCTGGTTCATTCGTTTTTTACGGGCACCATTCTTCCTTAATTCTTTCTATTATTTTATCACACGTTGTTTCATTATAAATATTACTTCTTATTTGTTTTCTAAACATTCCCATTCTTCAAATTGCACGTGTTATTGTATATCTAAGTTCGTCAATTCTATACTCTTAATTTAAAAACTCATTTAAAAAGTCAAAGTCATTATCGATCAATACATCATATTTTAAACGTTTAATATTAAAAGACATATTGTATAACATTGTTACCATACTATAATACTTAAAAATAAAATCATTATCATTTCCTTCATCATCGCCCTCATATATTAAATTACCAAACTCTTCTATAGTTAAGAAATTATTCATTGCAATAAACACAAATATTTCTAAATCATCATCAAGAGTTTCATTATTTATAATATCAGTATCTTTGTTATTCATATCATCAATTTTGTTGATAATTCCATTGCAATTATTGCATATCATATATTGACAAATATTATTACAAACGCCATTTGTAAAACCCCGTTCAATTGGTAATTTTAGCATTTCACAGTCTTCACATTTATAACTCATAAACTTTTTTCAATATATTTTTAGCATCATGGACTGTATCACTCATCACACTATACAATAGTATTATAAAATATTTCTTTAAATACTCGGTTACAAGAAATATTGAATACTCATTTTTAAGTTAAATTATTAATAAACTTTAATTATTATCAATTCAACAATTATTACCAATATAATTTCCCAACATAAACCTTACAATGTTTTTTATTGTAAGGTTTATGGGTTAATTTAATAGTCAGGCAATATTAATGGAGGAGGACATGACCTGCCACCCAAAAGGGGGGCAGCCAGCCACACAAAAGGGGGGCAGCCAGCCACACAAAAGGGGGGCAGCCAGCCACACAAAAGGGGGGCAGCCAGCCACACAAAAGGGGGGCAGCCAGCCACACAAAAGGGGGGCAGCCACACAAAAGGGGGGCAGCAACTAAATGACATTTTCCTCCAAATCTTCCTGCTTATGTATTACAAAATTATCCCCCCATTCTGCTTTAGTTTTTGATGGCAGTCGTTCCAACAGAACCACTACCTGAAAATAATTCTAATAAATTCATATTATTAGAATTATTTAGATATTTATTATATTAATTCGCATTTTCCTTCTTCGTTCTTAAACAGTTTATAAAATTCAATAGTTTCTGTTTTTGGAGATTTAATTTGTTCTTATTTAACATATCCATATATTGCTTTTGCTTATCTTAAAAACTGCCAGACGGCCTTCCTATTTGTTTCTTTTCAAAGATTTTATCAATCTTTTCCTTCTCTTCATTGCTATTTTTTGGTTCGTATTCCTTTGCATCAAGTTTCTGGTCAATAGTTTTTTATCATCTCGTACAACAGTTTAACATTTTTACTAACTGTCATTATTTTCTTTGATAGTTCAGCAATACCATCATTCTCAACTTCAGACATTTCTATATATATTTATTTATAATTATTTATTTAAATATATATGTATTTATAAAATTGATTATGTAAAATCTACTCTTTAAATATTATGTTATTACCCTATTAAAACTAACATTGACTAAATGGTCATTTGTTTCTATTGTCATATCTCCGTCCTTCTTCTTCACTACACTCATTTCTTGGTCTTTCTTCTTGACTGATAACATACACGGAATACATTTAATATTAACACCGCCTTTTTTTTATCTACTATTAATTCATTTTGAAAGTTCATAATATGATTACATTTATCACATTTTATTTCTTTACACACACCTAATGATTTAACACTTACTGTTGTTTCTTTCCGAGCTTCAATATCTGGCA